GGCATTTGCCCAAAGCCATTTGCTTGACTTCTCTATGGATTTCCCTTTCCGAGAATGAGGCATCCAGACTATTCCTTGCTTCGACGGATAGTTGAACTGTGGTTCTATTCCAGAAGTCTAAGTTCAATGAGATGTATGAATCAAAGGTATCATATGGCCTGCGAGTAGAAATAATATCTCTAAAATATTATAAAGCATACATGTAGATGGTTGGCGTATCGACTACTGGGAGGAAGAGCAATGCGAACGGGTGGGATAGTTTCCGTATCAAAGACTTAGTTTGGCGGAGAATTAGAGATTTGAACGTCTCCTTTGTCATTCGATCATAGCCAGTTATACCTTTTAGCCTCAACCACTAATTCTGTTTGTGGGATTCTACCTATTCCAGATCATACATGGCCTTCTTTCTTTTATCTGACCAATATAAATCCACGAAGGGTTCCACCCAAAATTTACTCTCAACCTTGCTTATCAGTTTCGCAAAGACTCTTTTTTTCAACTGCGGTTGGCTGCTTTCCTTATGGAAAATACCATAAGAGCGTCCCATAGTATATTTAACCCCATTTCAGTCCATCTTTCTTCCGAGTCAAACAAATTATGAGTCTGCGTCCGGGATACCTTTATTTTTCATAATATTGTCATTTAACGTGAAGGGTGGTCTCACTCGTTGCACCAAATCCTTCGAGATAATATCGATAATAATAGGGTAATAATCCAACATAGATGAGATATGTAACTCAGAGGATATATACCTTTCTCATAGCACACCCCTGGTTACGATATGGTACTGCCTTCTACATAGAGCGGGGACCGTTTCTGATGGCTTCGGTCCAAAGCATGTGAATCCACCGTTTTATGGATTCATGACCCTGAACGTAATCACTAAATCTTGGGATTCTAAGAAGGAGATCACCCGGAGAGAGTTTAGGTCTGGGTTCAGGACTGTATTTCAGTCCCCCGGGATGGCCAAATTTATTATCTCCGAGATACAGGCTGGGAGGTTGGAGAAAAAGTTCGTTCTCTCAATACAGTCAGTAGGCATGTATGCTGTCATGATGCTCCCTCACTTGTTAACTTGACCCATGCCCAACGTCTATCCGGGTCCTCATAGTAGTCCAGAACCGTGCATTCTTAGTCTTTACTAATTAAGATGGCGACTCATTTTTTGGAGCTATCTGTCGGCCCCCAGAACTACTGTCTAGGTCACCATGCTGCATTTTCTTGTATTTTTGTTAAATTCAACTTGCTCTCCTTAATACATAGTATTTGTACGATGTTGATAGTTGCATTATTTTATTTTTTTCCCCTAATACTTTTATATTCCAACTTACTATCCTTACTCTATTCGGTATGATCATCAGAAAGGTCATTGCCGCCATATTTTTGGATGCGGTTGATAACCAATGTTATCCCGAGGAGATTGAGCTACAAAGCAAAATGTTGGCAGCCTGCATTTACTGCCAATCGAAAATCAAGAGAGCTTACCACTGAGTTGGCACTTCCTCGTGCTATTCAGTCTGCAAATTCCTTTGCAGATAGGCCATGTCTCAAGTGGATATCTGACAGTGATCCGTTTTTTTACATAACAACGTCCCAGAGAGGATATTAAAGAACTGAGCTCTTACACCACTCCACTAGAGAATCCATCATAAATTGCAAAATCAAAAATGTGAAATGAAAAAGGATCTTATTGTCGTCTGGTGACTGAGTCACATGTCGTCCTTTCTTCGGATTTTGTAGGATGGCGCACAAATCTGTCCGTTTCAAGACATAGTTATGGACCAGATATAGTGCTTACTTGTCTGAAGAAAGGTTAGCCACCGCAATGGAGGGGAGACTCAAAGAGTCCTCCTGGGATTTCCACGTTAGAGGAATCAAACCCTCTGGGGAGTCCAAAATTATAATTAGAATTAAATATTTTGCGATCGACGTTTGGACCTATCAACTCTTTCCAAAGATTTCATGGGATCCGCCCTTAACCAAATATTTGTTTGCGAAACGCGAGGGTTGACCCTTTTTATTAGCTTTGCTCTTCCCCTCCCGCCGAGCAGGGTCCCCCCGACTTTGTTCCTCGACCGTGGGGGTTGCCGAATTATCATTTAGTCGAGCTTTCTTACAGGCGGACAACATAGGTTAGATACTTTTGTCAGTAATCCTCTCGAACTGGATTACTCCTTCTTGGAAAAGGCCAGCTGCTGCAAACTCCAAGTCCTCATTCAGATCAATCTCCCTCTAAGGCGTTGCCTGATTGTCGTCCGAGCCATCCTCCTTGACTCCTTCTAAATTTTGCCATTTTATTAGGAGGGGTTCATGGTCAGACTCGATCTCCGAGTCGGAGGATATAGGCTTATAGACCACCCCCGAAGGTGAGACACCTTGGCATCGCATTGAAAGTTGGGGGTCGTGGCTTCGGTTGAGGAAGGATCATCGTCCCTCTGCTGAGCCTTGTCACCAATCCCCTGATCTGATGCTTCAAGCGGCCGTGCTCCACCCTGTTGATGACCGCATATATCTATAGACAAATCTTATTTTCTACCATTCTTATTCTTACTTTTCTTCTTCCTACTTTTTTTATTCCCGAAAATGAAGGGAGAAGACTCCGCATTTTCCTTATGAAGGAGGTTGATGAGTATCTTATCGACCTTCATGCTCTCCTCCGAGTCCTCCAAGGTAGATCTTTTATTTTATGACTTCGGCTTTTTCTTCTTCCCCTCATCTTTCCGCTTCTCTTTCCATTTATATAATTGTCCGTTGTTCCCTCTAGCCCTCTTGTCTGAGGTTGTAATCTAAAAACCCGTCTTCTTGTTCATTGAAGGTTTTCGACCCACTTTTGCCCCCTTTGCCTTTTTCATGCTTTTTCCTTGTTGTTTTTCCATGTAGGTCCAATAAAAAATTAACAATGTTTAGAAAGAAGGTTCAATAATTCAACCGAAATGAAATGACTGGATGAATACTAGCGGTAGCTAATACCAAGGTATCAAAGACACATTTTCTACGGGATCCCAAGACCACCAACCACCCCAACCTAGCTCGTGATAAGCCCACAAACTTCCTAGTAGTATTCCTAAAGTTAAAAAACACCAACACGTCCCCCTTTGGTGTCCCCTTTCTCTCTCTCTTCTCCTTTTGTTTTCCGTCGAACACCATCCCTTATCTCCTCTCTTTCCTTCGTTTCCCCTTTTCCTCCCTGCTTTTCCCACTGCTTCTTCTCCCCTACTCCTCCTCCCTGGTTATCCCCGTTATTTTCTCTGCCCCGCTTTTCCCCATCTTTTCCTCCTCCTCGTTCCCCTGCTCCTTCCCCCTTCCATCCTTCTCGTCCTCCACCTTGCTTTTCTCCTCAAAGGAAGGGCCATGCCATTTATTACCTTTTGGTCGTCTACCTTTCGCTGGGCAAGACTCATCGCAATATTTATGGAAATAGTGTTTACATACCGAACACCATGCGGTATCTGCACACACGACGTCTATCCCCATTGTAACATGTGTTAAGAGATCAACCATTAAGTGTTTTTGCATTTCAACTCAGTCGAAGGGACCAAGTCGGAACGTATGTTGCGCAGATCGGGGTCTAATGAGTTTTTGTAAGCTGGGAAATGCCTGTAAAAAGGTTTTGTGCTCTTGGTAGAGCGTATGGGCGACGACGTTTTGCATTTTGGGCAGTGCGTATGCCCTGTATTCAAATGACCGTCCCCATGACGAATGTCTCTCTCTGTACCTCTCTCTGTTTGTTCGTCTGTCTGTTTGTCTCTCTCTCACTCAGGGCATACTCACACGAGGACCAAAAGTCTCAAAATTTTGAGGCATTTGGGTAAGGCCTATTTGGGACTTTATGTCCTCATGTGGTCACATGGGCGGACTTCATGCAGAAAGGATGAAGTCGCGACCTTGACACTTCACCCTCAGAGCAAGTGTGCGTAGTCAGACGGGTGAGGACGAAAAGAGTAGATTTTTTTTTTTTTTTTTTGCACGCCAAAATAACGTAAGAAAGTAGATGGATTTTATTATTCTTTTCTTACAATGTACATGGGCCTCCCTACACTACTCTCAAAATGTGCAAAAAGAGACTGAATCCACGACTACAAAATCTTTTTTTTTTTTTTTTTTTTCCAAAGTAAGCTATATTATTCTTTCATCTATCTCATCTTCTTGCCAGTACTCATGTATCTCATCCTCTCGCTAGTTTATGGGCCTTGCTGCACTACTCTCGACATACACAAAAGACAAAAATCATGGTCGTGCATCTTTCCATATTCTAGCAGAAGATTCGCTCTCGTTTTGCACATTTCGAGAGTAGTGCAGCGAGGGCCTATGTATAGTACGGGGGAACACCAACCAACCCGGATCTCTCCCTAGCCCACGGGGTAGGTTGGCACCACAACAGTGGTGCAAGAGCTAGCTCAGTTGGTAAGGCACAAAAGTTGCATTCCGGAGGTCGTGGGTTCAATCCCCATTGGCCTCACGTACGTGTTTGAGCAAGCTTGGTGATCTACCAACTAGAGATAAACCGTTGGCCCCCAAGCCAGCATTGGCAGGACCTCGGCTGATGTTGTTGGTTGCTATGCAGCGACAATATTGGCCATTAGACAACGCCATGTGGGGTTGAGTGGAGGTAGGGGGAGGTGCAGTGACTGACCATTGCTCGGCGCTAGCACCGCCGATCTCCCGCATCGGCAATGCCTGCCCACCCCTCATCAACATGATGAGGGATTGGTACATCCTTGCTATTGTCATCTCTTTATCTTTTGTTTGGCAGGCTGTTTGCTTAATCGACGATTTTTTTGTTTTTGTTTTGTTTTAAACCGTTAGTACCTCCGCCAGTGTTGGGAAAATATGGAAAAGTGGAAGTTTTCCCAAACTCCTAAAAACCCGGAGGCCGGGCCCGACGACGACTGCTATTAATAAATCTAATCGACGGCCATCTTTTCGCTTCGGCTGCCATTGACAAATCTGGTCGGCGGCAGTGGTTTCTTTTCGGACTCCGAAAGGTCGAAGGCTTAGAGGTGGACCCCACTGCCTGGCGGAAGCTTTCCAGGCGGAAAGCTTCTCCAGGCGGAAAGCTTCCGCCAAACCCAAATCGTAGGCCCTGGCGATGGGAAAGAGAAAAGCGGACCCCACTGCCGCACAAATTGTCACCAGTTCCGTTGGTGCCGGTTACCCGATAGGGAAAACTTTCCCTGTATGGAAACTTCACATCCGCTTGTCTCTGCTCTCACCCAATCCCTGGCTCTCCTTTCCACATGGGATGGCCAAACCGAGGGAGGTGCACCCCCCTACCTCCTCAGAATGGCCGAACCGCAAGGAACGGCCAAAACAAAACTGAGTGAAAACGTCTGCCACGTCATATCTGAGCGTTTTCCAAAGCTTTGCCACAAATCAGCGGGGTTTCCACATATCCTCTTCCAAAGCTTTGCGGCAAAGCAGTGGGGTCCACCTCGTACCCGGGGCCCGCTATTGGCGCCGGCCACTAGAGATAGAGCACTGGATCCGCCGACCGGCACAGAGCAGTCTGCTGATGTTCGTAGGGGAGGGGACCACCGCTTGAGGGGAGGCTCAGGGATCATTGGTCCTGTTGGCAGGGTCCCTAATGCTACCGGCTGTCCCCTACCCCTACATCCGGTATCGCCCACCTGCAGGTCGGGAGCAGCCTCCGCATATTCTCTCCTGAACACGGTTCTGGCTGCTGTTACGGGGCTCCCCGTATGCCTACAATTAGGAGTAGCCCCGCAGGCCGCTGACAGAAGGGTCACCATTTGAGGCATTTGGGTAGCGGACCTCTCCAATGTGACCCCAAAAATGCCTCAAATTTTGAATATGCCCTCACACACACGCACACGCACATGCACACACACACACACACACGCACCAACGCACACACACACACCCACCCACACACACCCACCCACCCACACACACACATACACAGCAGTGTTGTACGTTTGAGAGGCGCGTGGAGGATCCGGAAGAAGAGTGTCCGTACACAATCTGACTAAGAAAAACAAAAAGGTACAAGGGTTTGACCGCCGTGGCGAAGTCTCTCCCTTCCTTACTCTCCTCTCTCGCTGTCTCTCTCTCTCTCTCTCTCTGTGTCTCTCCCTCCCCTCCCCCCCCTTTCTCTCTCTCTCTCTCTTTCTCCCTCCCTCCCTCCCTCCCCCCACACATTCCCCCTTCCCTCCATCAGTCCGTCCATTCGCCTACTCCGATTTTGATGACGGTGCTATGTCGCAAGCGGGACATGATTTGTGCCCGATTGGAACGCGTAGGTGGGGATCGTGCAGTGAACGAAAAGGTCGTTCAGTGAACGAAATCTTGAGGGGTATATGGATTATCACGAGAAGAACGAAGAGGGGGGGGGAGGGCGAGGATGCGGGGTCAGGAGGAGGAGGAGAGGGTCAGCAGTTGGTCGTCGGTCAGGGTCGGAATGGGAGGACAGGCGAGGCAGAACGATAGTTACCTAGTTACAAAAAAAGAAAAAAAAGAAAAAAAAGGAAAAAAAAACAAAAAAAAAAGAAGAAAAAAAGAAGAGAGAGTTACCTGGGTACTGAGATAGGGTGATGCATGCGCCCCCTCTACAATTATACCCACCTTAACGCCGGTTAAGTTAAGTTTGCCGGCGATAAGGTGGGTGGGGTTGTAGAGGGGGTGGACGTCGAGGAGGGTCCAAAAGTTAAAAAAAAAA